AGCACTTGCTAAACCATATCATGGATACACAAGCTGCTGTAACATCATGACCCACTGCAAACATCTTTGCCATTGAGCCAGCCAAGAGAGCTAGGAAATACAGCTCTCTTATGTTAAGTGCTCGCTGTTTTACCCATCCTTCCCTATTTCTTCTCCAGTGGCTACAGCAGGACAGACATCCACATAGAAGGCCCACAGATCAACTCTCTTTTGCTGAGTAATTCCAACAATTGGATCACCTTAAACTTTGTGGGGGGGATGGGAGGGAAGATGGGACAAAAAGCTATATTAAATGAATTACCAGTGAAATGTAGGAAAATTACAGAGTCTGAGACACAAACATCTCTTCTGCAGGAGACTGGAACGTAACCTCGCTGTGTAGGGTTATCTGATTTAATAAAGTGAACACAAGTATAACAATGCTTCACAGAGAGCAGACTAAATCCAATCTGGTTGGGACTGGACACATGCAGTTCTGGACAGGGGGCAAACCACATTCCTCAGAAATCTTATGGACCAGATTTAACTTTTACTACACCCAGCAGCATCAGCATTCACATCTTCTGAATGGATTTGACTGGAAGAAGAGAAACAGACTAAAATTGAAGGAACTACAAGCATGGCATAGCAAATCTTGGTAAGCCTCAAATACATCAAAATGGTCAAGCATTTCCCACACTTTCCTTCCTAAGGAGAAAGATAATATTCAGCCCATAGGAAGGGATAATGAAGATAAGCAACAGAAGAACACTACTGAGGCACACCAGTGCCCAAATGAATGACTTCAGAAAACTAAAAGCTGGACCAAAATGCACCACATCATCCCTAATTACAGAGAACAGCTAATGACTCAAGCAAATCCTCTTGTGGGTATGGTAGAATACAGGTAATAAAGCCCCAGCAGCTTATTTTTGTAGTGAGAGCACAGATAATACATAGTTGCTCTATAACACTTTCTGTCAGAAACCTGACAGGTGTGAAGAATTACCAAGAGAAGTTCAAGAGCATTTTTGATAGACATCAGAGATATAAATAATTGTACCATACGAATTGGACATCCAGGAATGCATAGGGCATCACAGTCTTTCTAAAGGCAAACAAATTTACTATGTATAAAGATGCTGGTTTTATATAATTTCTTAAAATCAAAGCAGCCATTACATGATATTTCTTTTTTTTTTTTTAGTAAAGAGAGAAGAAAAACCTAACTCTTCTAATAGGGGCAAAGAAAACTCAAAATAGCAGATGAATGTATTAGCAGAAATCCAAATTTTCCTTGATGTATCTGAGCTACTGATATAATAACTGAATCCATTGGTTAAGATGTGCAGTTGCTTCTAGTCTATGGAGAAGAGTGCAAATAGAAGCAAAGCTTCTCAGATTTCAGCTGAAACATCAAAAAGCCCTCAGTTTGGGAAGGTATCCCTGTCTAAATTCAGAGGGAAAAGAGCCATGGACTTCCAGGCCCTGAGATACACATTCAACATCAAAGCCTGTGTTTGAAGCATTCACAGCTTTTCTGGGAAGAGGAAATCTATAGGAAATGAATGAATGCTCACTTGCACACCTGGTGTAGAGAGATGCAGGTCAGGTTTATGGTACAGCACTCCCTCAATTCACAGCTTTATCCTCCCCTGATCTTGATGGCTGTAACCAGGGACAGGGACAGAACCCCAAATTGTACAGTGTAAGTCATGCTTAGAAATACAAAAAATGTTATGAAAGACAAGAGTTTCTTGTGGAAATTCCAGTGTGGACTGGCAAAGAGCAGTGTGACTGTGGGAAAAAATACAACAGAGATCACCCCAAGGTTTTCTGTCCTACATCAGTCAGGCTTCTTGTGACTCCTTGTGATGTGGAAGGGTGGCTGTTCGTGACATGCCATGGTCAACCTACAGTGCCACACAAATATCTGCTCTGGCATCCACGAGGCTGCTTCACAGAAATCCCATCAAATGAAGGGTCTTCTCACACTGTCATCAGCTTAGCTGAGGGAGTTTTAAATTCAGCCAAGATTCCCCTCCCAGCATTCAAGTATACATCTCTAATCAGCTCTTAAATCCATTATGAGTTTTTGATCTAGAGGCTGCATGACCTTTTCTAGGACTTTGATACAAGATGAACAAATAACTGCTGAGCCTCTGAGCTATGTCAAGATAAATTCAAAACGTCCTCTTGATGTCCAGTACTTCTTGGATTCAGTAGGTTAGGGACAGAGGCTGGGCAAAACTGTTTCCTTGTCATTACATTTTCTGCAATTATTTTTAAACTCCCTGGGAATTTATAATGCCATAGGCAAACATACAGTAGGGTCAGAGATATTTCAGAGATCCTCACATATGAGAAAATCAAGGTCCCTGATTATTCTACCTCAAAATAAGATGTTGCAAACAGTTTGAAGTGGGAAGCATGAAAAGAACAGCTTTGAAAACAAAGAAAATTTGAACTCAGTTTATGTATCTTAATGGCTGCAGGAAAACAAATTTTAGAGCAAAATCCTGGAGCACAAACCCTGCTCCAGACTGGCTTGAAAAAATTCCTGGATTTTACAATCCAGCAGTGAGAAGTGCTTCTTTTCATTGATTTACATCACTATAAGCAAGTGAGGAAAGCTGGCAGTTTTCAGTTTGTCAGCTAATCCTTTTCCACATTTCAAAATTCAACCAAGTCAAGCAGCCATGCTCTTTGAGTCTGAACATCAACTATAGGTTGATGGGCAATCTACTATTGCCCAAGTAGAACCTCTGTGAAGCAGATTGTCATTTGGTTTTTGTCCCTACTAGCAAGTTTACTGCATCTGCATGACAGCAATTTACATGGAGCCATGTGAAGCAACTTTCCTGATTTTGAGATCTCCTTCAAGAGCTCCCTCTCACAGGCAGAGAAGATGCAGAGTTTGCACTGACAGACAGCAAACAACAGCAAGAAGCAAGAAGAAAGCACCTTTTCCACTCTGAGGATGGTCAGACATAACAGATGCTTAGAAGGGCTGTAAAGTTTCCAGCCAGCTGAATTTTGAAAATCAAGGCCTTGAGCAACCTGACCTAATAGGAGCTGTTTCAAGTGGGAGTTTGGACAAGACAACAGTTTGTACAAGCTTCTTGGCAGATTCGTTAGCAGTTTTTTCCAACCGGGATTATTCCATGATTTTAAGAAGCATGCTTCTGTCACTTTCCCCTTGCTACTCCTGAACTGTGCTCTCTTATTAAGGCCAGCCATGGAGACCAGGCTGACCTTAATAAGCATCTTTGAATGGAAATTAGAACAGAACCATCCAACTACCAGGTCTGCTGATAAACTTTTTTTCCCTTGGTGTTCCATAGCATCACTATTTCCAAATAGTTCTCCTCTTTCACCTGTGAACTTTGTCATACCTCACACAAATTTCAGCCAATCTGTAAGGAAGAACACTGTACAACTTTTAGGATCAAGTATCAGTACTACCATCAAAAAGAAAACTAGATATAGATCCTACCCTCTTTTGTAGTAAAGTCACAAAGTTTTGTGGAAGTCTCATGAACTAATGCTCTGATCCCTGGCTCATCTGTGACCCTACAACCAAATTCTAGTTAAAAAAAATTGTTGTTTGTATTTCTCATAGGGATATAGATGCAAACTTATAACATGCACAATTGTCAGAAAAGCTGATTAGAGGATAGAAAATAATTTAAAAGAATGAGCTGCAGTAGGGTTTACCCAGGTACATTTGGGCAGGACTTTTCATGTGTTTGGCCAGCTTCTTAGTGAATTTCTGGGCTTCTCTATCCTCTGTTTCTGTCTCTTAGAGTAAATGTTCTGCAGAAGGGTAAGTGATCTACATTTAAACATCTGCTAGCTAATCCAGATCTTTCTATATGATGTAACAACATCTAGGGGTTTTTAAATGGTAGAAAAGAATGAGTGTTCTCACAGAGCCGGTCTTTAATTTTCAGTTTTCTACCCCGCAGGCTATCTGACTCTTAAGTCTTCTGCCAGTGGAGAATAAGCCAGTTTTCGTCTGCAATCTGCACATTCTGCCTGGAGAAAAAGCACCAGCCCAACACCCTGCTTGGTCAAGGGAAAGCAGGGACACAGTCTTCTGCTGACATGTTTCTTTTCCCAAGGGTGATTGATTGGTACTATCCAGAACTGTGTATATTGATGGTCTCCTAGGGGGAAAGCAAGATGAGCCCACTAACTGCTCCAGATCTGCAGCCTTTATTTTTTGCAGGTTTGAAGGGCTTTCTCTGAATCACTTCCCTCTAGTTGGGACATGCCACTAATTACCTCCCTCTCTTCTCTCTCTCCTCCTACTTCAGAGTGGTGCAGCTCAGCAGCACAGACACATGATGTGTAATATTTCCAGAGCACTGAGAGAAGTCTGTCGGAGGCTGATGCCTCTGGAAGTGTTGCATACAATACAGTCAGACAAGCAGCAAAGCTTGTCATCTGGTATGGAAAGGAGGAATAGGAAAACTGGTACAGCACACATTAACTATCTCCTTATCTCTCAGACATAAGCAAACCGTCCCAGTTCCACATGGCAAGGGTGTCAGTCAGACATTCTGGGAACAGATGGAAAGACTGTAGAGGGACTGGACACCCCCACCACTTTGGGAAATACATACTCCCTCTGCATTACCTTTCTCCTGGTCTTTCATACAGCTAGCATGCTTTATTGTACCCCTTGTTTTTTAATTAGGCCTTTTTATTTCTTCTACTCCAGGTTTTAGCTCAACCACTCTTCAGCAGAATGGAACAGCTACAAACACAATAAGCAGATGCCACTGGAGCAAATGAAAACACATTCCTTGCCCTGAGGCCCAGTGTGCTGTTCTCTGTCAATGCTTCTCATACTGCGAGTCTCTGTACCAGAGAAAGAACACATATAATCAACTATACCTGTTCATTTTCCAGAGCTAAAAAAAAATAATAAAAATAAATTAAAACTGAAGAAAGCTAAAACAACCTTTCTGAAATTCTTGTTGAAAACCAAAATTGATCAAGACAGCACCACTTACCACAATTTCCCCCCCGAAGAGAGCAAGTTTACATTCACCACATTTCCTCACAAATGGCTTGAAAACATGCCCTGTAAAATAAAGAGAAGAAAAGGAGAAAAATAATAAGTGACTGGAACACCACAAATTATGTGACACTTTCTTCTCTCTCTCCTAACATTCATCACCAACTTCCACCATTTTTCCTGGTTTAGGGAAGGAGGTAATTAGATCTGAACCTTCACAACTAATTATTGAATTCCACTAGTATTATGCAAAATATTAAAATAATTGCAGGACTCCCTCAGACTGCTCAGACACATCACTGTCACTGACATGATGGCTATTCAGACTTCAGGGAGACAAGGTCAACAACAAGAAACACAGAGCAGCACACAGCAAGTGTGCCAATTATTTTAGATCCAACCCTAAAAAAATTGGTCAACCCAGTATCTCTAAGTCATTTTGTTTTAACAAACTGGTTTTGGAATTGGATGCACATAGGTTCATGACAGCCTCCTTGTTTGAAAAGGGAAAAAAGGGGTTGTGCCACACTTCATGTTTAGACTGTATTAATTACTTGGCATTCTCTAGGAGAACAAAGAGAGAGAAGAAGGAAGCCAACACAATATCCAGCTTGACACACACTAGGGCCCGTTTGAAGAAGATGGAGAGCAAAAGTGACAAATGCCATCATTTTGCCGACCCTGAGTAAATTTCAAATGACAGCTAAGCTTCATTTTCCCTTAAGGCAAAATCTTTGAAAGAATAACTCATGGAGCACAGACTAACAATGATGTTAAAATGTTTAGTTTGTGAACTCCTAGAAGAGGGAGGAGGCAAGGATTCTGCTGGTGCTCAGGGTTGGGAGGGGTAACTGTGCAGCAAATGGAGAAGAACATCACTTTCAGTGCCCAGGTGAAGCCACACCAGTGAAGCCAGACTAAATTTGAACTGCTTCTGAGTGCCATTCTCCCCCAAGTACGTGGCTGAACTTTTCACCAGAGAGGTATCTGTGAAATTACTGCTGGATGAGTAACTTCACAGCTATACACGGATGACTTGGAGCCCTGCACTACTGATCATGAAAACCTGCCTCAGCTGCAGAAACAGCAACTCTTGTGCCAGCACCACTCCTGAAAGATGCTGTAGGCATAAACAGGAAACAAAAGAGGAATGGCTTCTTAAATCAAGTTATTTTTACTGGTCATCATTACATAAAAAGCAGTTACGAAATTAGAATTTCTATTAAGGAATAACCAAATAAATATTCCTCTAAAACATGGAAACTGAATCACATGGCTCTAAGTCCTGATTAGCAAGCAGGCATTTGATATTATAAAGCTCAGACTTCATTTGAGTGGAGGGATCAGGGTGGGGAGAAAAGAAAAAAAGCATCATTACAAATCAGAGGAGGCTGTTGTGAGAGATTTTAGAGACAGACATTTTCTAACAGAAAAGTAAAAATGTAAGCATCGTCTCTGCTTGCTTTCCTTGTTTAGCAATTGAGAAAAAGAGTGGGTATACCAAGGAATAAAGAAAAAAAATGAACACCCCCTCCTCTCCCATTGCCTTTTGTACAGCTTGGCAGAGTTTATGAAAACACTGAAAAAAACGTGGGTCTTAACTGCTTTGCTCAAACTCAGGGAAGGTGGTTATTATTCCAGCACCATCTATTTCCCTCCCTAGCTTCCAGGCATTTGGCCTGGAAAGAAAACATCAAGTCAAGAAACTCTACTTCTGCCTCCGAACTAATTGGATAAAATCTGCATGCAGAAAAGTTAGAAGCTTAAGAAATGAGCCAGGTCCAAAACAATCCAATGGCACCTCAACTCTGGATTAGCTCATTATTTTCTTCTACACCATGAGACTGATTTAAAAATTTCCTTAGAGGAGTGACAAATAAGGGAACTCTGTAGTTCATGCTGCTCGTCCCAGGAATACTTGAAAGACAAGGGCTGGCGCCACTGCCAAAAGGGGCTGAACTCCCCCAGCACTGGTGTGGAGCTTCTGGATGCAGCCCTGGCAGCGCTCCCTTCCTCTCTCACCCCAGCACAAATGCCTGTGCAGCAACCAGGATTAAACCAAACTGGGGAAATTCTTCAGACAAGTTTGTGAGTGACAGAATAGAATAGAATAGAATAACACAAGAAGAACTAAAAAAGAAAGAGGCCTGTGGTGACTCTAGGGTAAAAGGGAGGAAAAGATGGAAAGGATGGACCAAGAGTACAACTCCACTTGGAACATTCCCATGTTACAGCATGCTGCTACTTTAATACACGCCAAGGGAGTCTAGCCCAAGCCTTTCACTGAGACCATGTATGACCAAAACTAGCAAGAGGGCTAGGGAAAGGGGTGTCTTGTTAAATCTGAGGCAGCCACACAATTTGCCACATCTCTAGCCTTGCAAGATCTTCAGAACTGTAGGGATGGCAGATAGAAAGTTTGGGGAAGCCTTTTGCTTGATTTTAGATGATGAAAAATGTGCTCCATCTCTTAGGCTACAAAGGAGAAGAGAGGCTTGGAGATGGAATAGGGAGGGAGAAGGGAAGGGAAGTATTTTGCTGCATAATTGAGGGTGAGGGCAGGACATAGCATGCAGAGTAAACTAAAGATTATTCACTCTTTATTTGCGTTCAATCTAGGGGCCCATACAGAACTCAATTTCAGTCTTAATGATTTTCATTCTACCCAAGAATTTAGGGGAAATATCCCTTTTTCTTGAAGGCTTCGGATCATGATACATATCTCCAAATTTTGATGAGCACTTTTTAGAAAAGCTCTGCTCACTTTGGAGAGTACAGCAGAGGAGATGAAAAATAAATTAATACAGGCCTCAAGGCACACCAATATAGGCTTCTTTTACAATTAGTATAACAAATAGAAGAGGAAACAAACGGTTTGTCCAACCAGTGTCCAAATGAAAGCTGTCCAAGCATCTCCTCCTACATGGTAAGACACAGAAAATCCTTAGCACACCAATGGATACGAAAAGTTGTGCTGAATCTCAGAGTGACATGATTTGAAACATTAAAGAAAAGCAAAACACTTTTGGGGGATAATCAGAGTTATTATCTGCCAGGACCAGCCTTTTCCTGCAGGCAGCACGAGCTTCCACAAACTGCCACCTTTTACCAAAAACCCATATCCCCCTTCTAGTGTTACGTATATATCAGCAGTGTAGTTATGTAGCCTTGTGGAAAAGTCACTTTCTTTTTGTAAAGAAGTATTTTGTGAAACAATGTGGCAAGCAGCATAACTAGACATCATTTGCGTGTTCGGTTTCATGACATTGTCTGCTTCATGAGACAACCTCTATTTTTCCCCATCAACTTTCAGATGTGTTTTTGTCAGTTCATACTGGAATCAGAATTAAGTTTATTACTACTGACAAAAGAGAAATCACTGAAAGCAGACATGGTAAATGCTTTTTTCTCAACCCTGCACTCCCAAATCCATCAGCACTCACCAACTTCAAGGGTCTTTGAATCAAATGCATTGTGAATAATCCTAGATGGGAACCCACAAAACTCCCGATTGTTCATTGAAGCAAAAACTGTTCATTGACAATTTACTCACCATTGAAAACAGATAATAACATGACTGAAACCATAAAAACAGCCACACAGAGGGTGCTGGTCTGGTACATGTTGCAGTTCATATGAGTTTCACCCAGCTGGAGGAAGTGGCTGGTTGAAGTCATAAGTGGTCTTACATACTTTTCAAATGCCAGTAGATGCAATTGAGTTTATGGCACTCAAACACAGAAGAAAATCTACATAATTATGAACATCTGTCAGTTTTCTATTAGCAACATGCTTCTGCTGCTGTTTTTTCAAACCTCAAGTAGAAGCAGGCATTCCTGCTGCTTGGGCTGCTATTTTACTTGGCAAAAACTAGGAAGATTAAGTTTTTCATGCTGAACAGTTTACAAAGGAACATGTCTGGATCAGGATGTGTAACCAGTAAATAAGCTGGATCCATTTTGAAAAGAAAGTGTTGGTTAGTCTCTTCAGAGCAATAGCCTGCTTTTTTTTATCTGTTTCAATGTCAGTCATGCTTATGTTACACTACATCATACCACACAGATTTGGGGCCATGAATTGGTCCAGAAAGTTCTTTTCAGTAGTAGGTTACTAGGACTCTGCTCTAGCAATCTCAAGTTACTCTTTACAGACTGGTTGAGGATTCTGTCACCCAGGACTCTGCTGACACTGGCTGTTTGAACAAATCTATGGAAGCACACATGTTCAGTTTTTAATAGAGTGCATGCAGCATTTTCCACCTCTTCCCATCACCTAAGATTTGTAACCTTACTAAAACCAAAAACCAACTAACCAAAAAAACCTCCAACTGACCAAACCCAAGAAACTCCTTCTAGAAGCAACATTGAACAGAAGGAGAAAAACAATATCCTACATGCTGAATTCACACAGCCAGTTTATAAAGGAACTGCACATCTTAACTTACATAAAGTAATCCTTTACTGTGCAATGCCAGATTACATATAAAGAGCCCTTATCCTGTGAACATCTGAAAGCTTTCCAACAATAAAACATTTAAAGTTTAAGGGAAGCTTATAGGCTTGTTCTTACACAGAGACAAAAGCCTCCCTGTTAGCCTGAAACCATCCCTTTTCTAAGTGAGGTCCCAGATAGCTGGCACACGATATGAAAAAGCCTTGTCATCAACGGGCTTGGGGAGAGAGAGCTGAGGGCAGAAAGAGAAAGCTCCCAACAAAATCTGCTGTTGCAACAAGTCCAGACACACCCCTGGACAACAGCAAAGGAAAAAAAAAACACCAACACTATTAGAAAACTTATACTAAGACAATACTATTCTAATGGTTTGTCCTCCCATGCAACAGTGCCAAAACTTGGAAAGAGGACAGGGCTATGGGAGAGGCACTCCACATTTTTTCATGTCAAAGTCACTGGGTTTCTAAAACAGTTACTGGAAAGCTTCCACACATGCAGGATGTAAATAAGGATCACTAGGTTCGTCTGTTCAAGGAGTCCAAAAGTAGTTTAGTAGTTTCAAAACAAGAATGTTTGTCTGCACCATTAAACTTGTTCCTGTCTAAAAACACGTC